CTCTCTCTCTCTCTCTCTCTCTCTGTGTTTCTAACAGAGGTTTTAATGAACACGAAGACAGAAACGTCCGATCTGAAGTGGACCACCTACTCCAGAACAAAATCCGAGGTACGACACACAACACACACTCCACAATCACCCCAGTGCGTCTGTCTGTCTGTGTTAAATGCTCTATAGATCTGTGACGGATGGCAGATTTAATTCTTTTTTTACAGACTGTTTTCCAGCCTCTCTTTATTTCATGCCTTAAAATTCGACATCACTGTGCCTTTAAGACTGATATATGTAAATGACGTCTGCTCTGATTGGCTGCCCTCATTTAAAAGCTGAAACACTTCTTATAACTTCTGTGTGAGTGGCCGGGGCTAGACTGCTGTAGGCTGAAGACGTGGATGTGTGTATATATGTATATGTGTTGGCTTCTGTGACATCACAACCAAGATGAGTTCATGTAGTTTCCACATACACCCTGGCAAAATGAAGTTTTGTTGATTTTTCATCAGATTTAAATGCACAATTTCTGTTATTTTTCTGAGTTTAACATCAGAAAAAGTTGAAATATAAACATAAAATAATAAAAGCTTTATTATATTTCTTCAAAATGTTGTCCTCAAAATTCAGGGAATAAACAGTGCAGTAAATGTGCAGGAGTTTGTGTTAACTTACTTTCACTTGCCCAAGGGTGCCCAAACTTTTGCATAAAGCTGTTTTTATGCAAATATATTGGTTTTTGTGGCATCACAACCATGATGAGTTTCCATATTTGGGCTGGGAAGTGAACGGTTCATTTTGAAAATGTAATGTTTACATACATACTTCATTTCCCATGATATGGGCCCTTTAATTCATCTGTCCAGCACTGTTGGTCAGCGTCTTTCCTTACAATTGGACATCCAATCTGACCAATCCCACTCTCTCTCTCTCTCCCTCTCAGTCCCAGTGGGAGGAGGTGAGCGGTTTGGATGAAGAGAATAACAGCGTTCGGACCTATCAGATCTGCCAGACGGACGGCTCCTCCAGCCAATGGCTGCGCAGTAAGCTGATCGAGCGGCGCGGAGCCTCGCAGGTTTACGTGGAGCTTCGCTTCACCATGATCGAGTGTTCGTCACGCAGCACGCACCATCGGTCCTGCAAGGAGACGTTCAACCTGTTCTACTACCAGAGCGACACGGACGATGCCACAGCATCGCACCCCCCATGGATGGAGAACCCTTACGTCAAGGTACATATACGCACACATAGACTTATACAGCTATACGTCTGTAGCTACTGTCGTTAAGTTCAACAAGCTTAACAGAACACTAACAATCACTGAAGAAGAGTAGATACTGAATAATTCGTAGTAGATACTGAATAATTCATAGTAGTTACTGAATAATTCATAGTAATTACTGAATAATTCATAGTAATTACTGAATAATTCATAATAGATACTGAATAATTCGTAGTAGATATTGAATAATTCATAGTAGTTACTGAATAATTCATAGTAGATACTGAACAATTCATAGTAGATACTGAATAATTCATAGATGATACTGAATAATTCATAGTAGTTACTGAATAATTCGTAGTAGATACTGAATAATTCATAGTAGTTACTGAATAATTCATAGTAGATACTGAATAATTCATAGTAGATACTGAATAATTCATAGTAGTTACTGAATAATTCATAGTAGATACTGAACAATTCATAGTAGATACTGAATAATTCATAGATGATACTGAATAATTCATAGATGATACTGAATAATTTATAGTAGATACTGAATAATTCATAGTAGTTACTGAATAATTCGTAGTAGATACTGAATAATTCATAGTAGTTACTGAATAATTCATAGTAGATACTGAATAATTCATAGATCAAACTGAATAATTCATAATAGATACTGAATAATTCATAGTAGTTACTGAATAATTCTTAGTAGATACTGAATAATTCTTAGTAGATACTAAATTATTCATAGTAGATACTGAATAATTCATAGTAGATACTGAATAATTCATAGAAGGCACTGAATAATTGATAGTAGAAACTGAACAATAAGGCTAATGATTAATAATTAGCTTGCAGATTAAGGGCCTTTGATCTTTGCCATGCAGGTGGACACAGTAGCGGCGGATTTCCTGCTCCGTAAAGGTGGAGAGAAGAAGTTTAACGTGAAGACTCTGCGTCTGGGTCCTCTGACGAAGCGAGGCTTTTACTTGGCGTTCCAGGCTCAGGGTGCCTGCATGGCCCTGTTGTCTGTGCGAGTGTTCTTTAAGAAATGTCCGGCCGTCACTCGCTCTCTCTCCGTTTTCCCGGAGACTGTGCCGCGCTCGCTGGTGCAGGAGGCCGTGGGCACGTGCGTGCCGAACGCAGAGCAGCCGGGGCCCCGCCCCCGACCCCCGAAAATGTTCTGCGGTGAGGACGGGCAGTGGGTGGAGCAGCCGAGCTCCAGCTGCACCTGCAGAGCCGGATACGAGGCCAGCGCCGGAGAGCTGGAGTGTAAAGGTGAGAAGTGGATGCAGAGAATTCATCCCCAGTCGAGAACCCTAAATGAGCCGGATCTGTTTTTTAATAAATGTAATTGCATGATTATCAGTATAAACACAACCTTCCATGAGTAGCTGGTACGTAGTCGTACTTCCGGCAGCCCCGTTCTTTTTTGGGTCGCAGCTTGGTTCCCTCCATTTGAAACGCCTCCTTATTAGAGAGCAGGTTTGGTTTCTTGCAGTTGCCCCGCCCCTTCAGGGGTTGCACCTATGTTCTTTTCCATAACCAAGCTCCCTTATTAGGTAGTAAATTTGTTTTTTTGCAGTAGCCCCACCCGTTTTTAGGGTTGCAACTCAGAAGCCCCACCCTTACCAATAGCTCCACCCTCTTTTGGGGTAACAGCATCATTCCTTTCAGCTTTCAGTAGTTCTGCCCCCTTTTAGGGTCGCAATTTGATTGCTTTCAGTAGCACCATCCACTTTTGGGACAGCAGCTAGGCTTCTTCCAGTAGCCCCACCCCCTTTTAGTGTTGCATCTCATTACCTACGAGAAGCCCCACCCTTTTTTTGGTAGGTACTTGCTTACATATAGTAGCAGGTAAGTTTCTTTCGCTAGTACCATCTCAAGTTGGCATACCAACTTGGTTCTTTGCAGTAACTCCACCCTTCCAACTTCAGTAGCCCCACCCCCTTCTGGGGTAGCAACTCGCTCCCTTCCATGTAGAACAACACTGAAGCTTCTCCCACTTGCTATCAGCTATTGCTATTTGTAGGTGGAGTATGTCTACTAATTAACGAATGGTGTGGCAAGTGTGTGTGTGTGTGCGCGTGTGAACATGCCGTAGTGAACGTGTGTGCCGAGTGTGCAAGAGTGTGCACTGTGTTGCTTCAGACAGTTCAAGTCGAGCTGAATCAGTCTGAGCGAGAATTAAGAAGCTAACGAAACTGGGCCGATCTGGACCGGACGCAACATGAGCGAATCAGCTTGTGGTGAAATTAGCATAGAATTTGCATGAGATTGAATTAAGCCTGAATTAATGAAAGCGCAGTAGAGTGTGTGATAAAAGGAGGGAAGAGGACAGAATGTCGGAGGAGCGGAGAGAGGGGCGAGGGGAAGAGGGGGAAGACAGAGAGAGGAGTGTCAAGGAGAGAGTGATTAGTGAGCGGAGGAGAGAAGGGAAAGAGAAAAGACGGGTGGATAGAAAGAGAGAGAGTGTGTTTAAGGGGGGGTGAAAAAGCAGAAAGCTTTATTGATGACTGTAGTTAAATGGAAAATTAGAGTGTCAGGAAATTTTAATACAACCTCATCTATTATACCACACACACACACACACACACACACACACACACTCACGCTGTCTCACACTCTGGAGAGCCGGAGAGCTTCACTTATCTGGTGTGAAGAATTTTTATCTGCAAAATCTTTTTTTACACCTCTGTGGACACACACGCGCACACACACACACACATATACACACACACACACACACACACACATATACACACACATGCTGGTGTTCTCCGTGGAGAGGGTCAGAGTTTCAGAACAACATAAATTCACACTGACAGGAACTGCAACTTTCACACTGTTAAGTAGAGGAGAGAGAGAGAGAGAGAGAAGTAAGGGGGAAAAGAAAAATAGAGAAAGAGAGGGGAGAGTGAACAAGAGAGATTGAAAAACAAAAGAAAGAGTGAGATGGAGAAGTAAAAGAGAGCAAGAGACAGACGGAAAAAGAGAGAGATGAAAAAGTGACAGGATTAGAAAAAAAGGAAAGAAGAAAAGAAAAAGAAGAAAGAGAGAGAGAGAAAAAGGGGAAAATAAGAAAAAGAGGGAGAAAGAGAGAGGGGAGAGTGAAGGAGATACTGAAAGCCGAAAAAAAAAAAGAAAAAGGAGAGAGTGAGATAGAGAAGTAAAAGAGAGCAAGAGACAGAAGGAGAAAGAGAGAGAGGAAAAAGACAGGGTTTGAGAAAATGAGAAAAGAAAAGAAAAAGAAGAAAGAGATGGAGAGAGAAAAGACAGGAGAAGAATACGAAAAGAGTCAGAAAGAAAGAAATAGGGTGAAAGAGAGAGAAAAGTGGCAGAAAAGAAAAGAGTGAGATGGAGAAGAAAAGACGAAGAGAAAGGGAACAGTATAGAGGAGAGAGGAAAAAATAAAGAAGAGAGTGATAAGAGAAGCAAATAAGGATAAGGAAACATGAGAGAGGGAGAGGAAAAGAAGAAAGAAGAGAGGGAGAGGGAAAGAGAGAGGGGGGAGGGAGAGAGAGGCAGGGAGTGAACTGGGTGAAACGGCTGTGAACCTGAATGAGACTCTACATAAGAGGGATGAAAAGAGCGAGAGAGTGTGAGAGTGAGGGAGTGAAAGGGTAGAAGCTGTAGTGAGAGGTTAGATGGAGGTCTAGTGGCTAACAAGGTCAGACTGTGAGCAGACAGAGGAGGACAGAGAGAGAAAGAAAAAAGAGAGAGAGAGAGACCCAAAAAAAGAAACAAAGGAAAGAAAACAAATCGCCAGGAGAAAACAGCAGAGGAGAGGATGAAAAATGGGGGTGAGATGAAAATGAAAGCGATGATTGTGGAAAAGAGAAATGGAGAGGAAAAAAGAGAGAGAGAGAGACACACAGAGAGAGGGAGAGAGAGAGAAAGAGACAAGGGGGGATTTCTTTGGGTTTCATCAGTGTTTTGCTGCTGTGCTCTTTGTGCTTTTCTTCATTATTATAACTTATTTCAGTTTTGCATGATTCAGCAGCCACACACACGCACACACACACGCACACACACACACACGCACACACACACACCATATATACACATACATACAGCACAACTCACGACTTCAAGACCCGAGCAGGCCTGACTGGTGCTTATAAATTTAAAGCCCAAACCCTCAACTTTAAGGACTTTAAGACCTCACCTGACCCAAACAGGCCCAGCTGCTGCTGATAAATTTGATCCTGGAACCCACCCAACTTTAAGACTCGACCCGAGGAGACCCAACTGGTACTTATAAATTCAAAGCCTGAACCCATGACTTTAAGACCCGACTCAACCCGAGCAGGCCTAACTGGCACTGATAAATAAGAAACTCAAACCCATGGCTTTAAGGCCTGACCCAACCCAACCAGGGCCAACAGGTACTTATACATTTAACGCCCGAACCCACAGCTTTAAGACCCGACTCGACCCGACCAGGCCCAACTGGTACTGCAAAAATTGAACAGCTACTTCTAAAAGTGAAAACAGATCCGGTTCTGCTAAGCTCTGACGGGGCTGTACGATCACAGGAAGTGTGTTGACTCGTTATCTGGATGTGTGTGTGGTGTTTTACGTTATGTTGCCGCAGAGCGGATCAGTGTAAATCTTTACTGCTTCAGAAGGATTACTCCACCCAACTAATGATAAATGATCCTCTTTAGATATACGGGGTGTGTGTGTGTGTGTGTGTGTGTGTGTGTGTGTGTAGGGGGGGAGGGGGGGTCATGTTAAAGGCTCTTTTCATCTGTCATGTTAAACGGAACAGCTGTGTAGTCTGCGGGAGTGCAGCTCCTGGAGAGCGAGAACACACACACACACACAAGTCAGAGACCCCCCCCCGTTTATTTAATTTACAGTTAAATAGTTATACATTTTTCAGTGTCAGGACAAAGAAATTTAACAGAGAATTGCACAGAATCCTCAATAACTATATATATATATATATATATACACGGTCCAAATCCTAACCCCAACCTTACCACTGTTTACAATCTACTGAGGTTCAACAGATAGTTTTTTAACAATTAAACATCTGTAGAGAATCTATAGGGGACTATGGAAAATAAAGTGAGACCACGACTGTATCACAGCCGGCAAAGCTGAACATTTCAGTGATGATTTTTTTATGGTTTTTAGTTTATGATCCCTTTGTTTAACTCAGAGTCCATCGTGGGAGACCCTCATTTACAGTGTAGCTGTAGTGACAATAATCATAGAAGTAAATTAAAAGAAGTTACACCATTATACTTACAACAGTGTAGTAGCTTAGTAAATAAGACAAAATAAGGACGAATAAAAAAAACATATAATTAATTTAAAAAAAAAAGAAGAGTTTTTTTTTGTGAGTGAAACATCAGGACTCTACTTTGTGCATGATTCTGGACAGAAGCACCAAAAATTGACCCCAGCCAGCAAAGCAGAACCTTAATTTCCAGTTTTTTACAACAAGCTTTTTAAAAAAATAAGAATAAAAAAAAACCTCAGTTTCAGTTTTTATGAGAAAAACAGGGGCTGGGAGTATATTTTGTATATTTTGCATGATCCCGAAATGAAGGAGCTGTTTTCCGCTCATGCTCTGAGCGTCTCCGTCTCCTGCTTACCAGGATTTTCATGGTATCTATGAGTACTGAATATTCAGGGCTGCACGTGTGAACGACTCAAATCCCGAACATTAGCGGGAAAAGTATCTCGACAACGTCCTGGGTTTCGGGGTGAAAGATGCCGCTTACTTACTTACTTACTTACTCAGCATTCATTCACTTTTCACTCATACACACCCACCGCTGTTCACCTCTCACACACACACACAGAACAATGGCACAATAGAGTGACCGGCGGGCTGGGATGTGTCCAGCACAAAGAAACCCTAATGACCCGACCAATTAGGCGTGGGCGCAGAGAGAGAGGGGGAGGAGAGGGGAGAAAAAGAGAGAGGGGAAAAGAGAGGATAGAGGAAGAGAGGGGGAGAGAGAGAGAGATGAAAGAGAAGAGAAATGGACAGTGTTTTAGTCAGGTTAGCAACCAACTTCAGCTGCTCTTTATATTGTGTGAATATTTTACGATGAATGGACCAATAGAAATGCTCAAAAACGACTAATTAAATGTGTGTAAATATATATATATATATATATATATATATATATATATATATATATATATATATATATATATATATATATATATATATACACATAGATCATGTTATGTGTTATACACATTTCTGTATAACAAATATTTCAGTATAGCAAATTATGTAATGAAGTGTGTGT